GTACTGATACAGTTTGTGTTCCTGACTTTGATGTACCATTAAAGTCTCTATTTAACCTTCGTACTGATACAGTTTGTGTTCCTGACTTTGATGTACCATTAAAGTCTCTATTTAACCTTCGTACTGATACAGTTTGTGTTCCTGACTTTGATGTACCATTAAAGTCTCTATTTAACCTTCGTACTGATACAGTTTGTGTTCCTGACTTTGATGTACCATTAAAGTCTCTATTTAACCTTCGTACTGATACAGTTTGTGTTCCTGACTTTGATGTACCATTAAAGTCTCTATTTAACCTTCGTACTGATACAGTTTGTGTTCCTGACTTTGATGTACCATTAAAGTCTCTATTTAACCTTCGTACTGATACAGTTTGTGTTCCTGACTTTGATGTACCATTAAAGTCTCTATTTAACCTTCGTACTGATACAGTTTGTGTTCCTGACTTTGATGTACCATTAAAGTCTCTATTTAACCTTCGTACTGATACAGTTTGTGTTCCTGACTTTGATGTACCATTAAAGTCTCTATTTAACCTTCGTACTGATACAGTTTGTGTTCCTGACTTTGATGTACCATTAAAGTCTCTATTTAACCTTCGTACTGATACAGTTTGTGTTCCTGACTTTGATGTACCATTAAAGTCTCTATTTAACCTTCGTACTGATACAGTTTGTGTTCCTGACTTTGATGTACCATTAAAGTCTCTATTTAACCTTCGTACTGATACAGTTTGTGTTCCTGACTTTGATGTACCATTAAAGTCTCTATTTAACCTTCGTACTGATACAGTTTGTGTTCCTGACTTTGATGTACCATTAAAGTCTCTATTTAACCTTCGTACTGATACAGTTTGTGTTCCTGACTTTGATGTACCATTAAAGTCTCTATTTAACCTTCGTACTGATACAGTTTGTGTTCCTGACTTTGATGTACCATTAAAGTCTCTATTTAACCTTCGTACTGATACAGTTTGTGTTCCTGACTTTGATGTACCATTAAAGTCTCTATTTAACCTTCGTACTGATACAGTTTGTGTTCCTGACTTTGATGTACCATTAAAGTCTCTATTTAACCTTCGTACTGATACAGTTTGTGTTCCTGACTTTGATGTACCATTAAAGTCTCTATTTAACCTTCGTACTGATACAGTTTGTGTTCCTGACTTTGATGTACCATTAAAGTCTCTATTTAACCTTCGTACTGATACAGTTTGTGTTCCTGACTTTGATGTACCATTAAAGTCTCTATTTAACCTTCGTACTGATACAGTTTGTGTTCCTGACTTTGATGTACCATTAAAGTCTCTATTTAACCTTCGTACTGATACAGTTTGTGTTCCTGACTTTGATGTACCATTAAAGTCTCTATTTAACCTTCGTACTGATACAGTTTGTGTTCCTGACTTTGATGTACCATTAAAGTCTCTATTTAACCTTCGTACTGATACAGTTTGTGTTCCTGACTTTGATGTACCATTAAAGTCTCTATTTAACCTTCGTACTGATACAGTTTGTGTTCCTGACTTTGATGTACCATTAAAGTCTCTATTTAACCTTTGTACTGATACAGTTTGTGTTCCTGACTTTGATTTACCATTAAAGTTTCTATTTAACCGTTGTACTGATACAGTTGGTGTTCCTGACTTTGATGTACCATTAAAGTCTCTATTTAACCGTTGTACTTATACAGTTGGTGTTCCTGACTTTGATGTACCCTTAAAGTCTCTATTTAACCTTCGTACTTATACAGTTTGTGTTCCTTACTTTGATGTACCATTAAAGTCTCAATTTAACCTTTGTACTGATACAGTTGGTTTTCCTGACTTTGATGTGCCATTAAAGTCTCTATTTAACCTTTGTAATGATACAGTTTGTGTTCCTGATTTTGATGTACCATTAAAGTCGCTATCTACCCTTCGTACTGATACAGTTGGTGTTCCTGACTTTGATGTACCCTTAAAGTCTCTATTTAACCTTCGTACTGATACAGTTTGTGTTCCTTACTTTGATGTACCAATAACGTCTCTATTTAACCTTTGTACTGATACAGTTTGTGTTCCTGACTTTGATGTACCATTAAAGTCTCTGTTTAACCTTCGTACTGATACAGTTTGTGTTCCTGATTTTGATGTACCATTAAAGTCTCTATTTAGCCTTTGTACTGATACAGTTTGTGTTCCTTACTTTGATGTACCAATAACGTCTCTATTTAACCTTTGTACTGATAAAGGTTAAATAGAGACTTTGATGTACCATTAAAGTCTCAATTTAACCTTTGTACTGATACAGCTGGTGTACCTGACTTTGATTTACCATTAACGTCTCTATTTAACCTTTGTACTGATACAGTTTGTATTCCTGACTTTGATGTACCATTAAAGTCTCTATTTAACCTTTGTACTGATACAGTTTGTGTTCCCAACTTTGATGTACCATTAACGTCTCTATTTAACCTTTGTACTGATACAGTTGGTGTTCCTGACTTTGATGTACCATTAAAGTCTCTATTTAACCTTTGTCTCATTATGACGCGACCTCCAGTTGTATGAGTTTCGGAACGGACACTGTAGTTGTAATATTAGTCTATATCACCTGTAAGGAACCTATATATTAATATGACGGAGAGGGGAACCGTCTGTCTTACTAATGACAGAGTCCCAAACCTCATCATTTCACCACTAAACTAGATCAGCGAAAACACATTTGCAAGACACTGATTAATTGGACGGATATTATGTTTTATCCCAGGATCATTATTACCGCCTAGCGTAGAATTACACGTCATTGCGCATGTAATTTACGGCTCTCTGACGAAGGAGCCGTGAAGCCGTCTGGTCACGTGATGTGTCATATCTCGCTCATCAAACCGACCTAAATGTATTTAACTGACATATACAGATAACCCAAAGTCTACGGGGATCGCCCGGACCATTGACGCTCAAGTCGAGATTGTCATGTTACTCCATTGACTGTGTTACCAATGACAGCAGCGCGTCATACCGTCTAATCACACAACCGTGACATCATTGAAGACATTCGGATAATCGAACATCAAGTCGCACCACTGACCTTGACATAAACAGTATTGGGAATGTCACAACGTCCAGACTCACCAGTGACCTTGACATTGGCGGCATTGGGACTATCACTACATTCAGTCCATTTTGACCTTGGCATTGGCGGCATTGGAAATGTCACAGCGTCCAGTCAAGCTACTAACCTTTATATTGGCGGCAATGTGACTGTCACAACATCCAGTCACACCAGTGACTTTGATATTAAAAACAGTAGGTTGTCACGTTGTCCAGTCACACATGTGACCGTGACATTACTTACAGTAGTGGGGCTGTCACCATACATTCACATCAGTTTGACAACAGCGTGTCACACACCGTCCAGTCACACAAGTAGTCGAGGCGGTCACATGGTCAGATGACGACAAAGTGAGGTGTGAATCAAACCCTGATGAATGACGAGCAGGAGACGAAATCCGATTATAGCTATTACCGGTGATACAATGCTAAGGCCAAGACAACTGTCCATTACGTCGTTCAGGAAGAGCAGTCTCTAGCGACCTACAAAATGTGTTTCATTAGTATCGAAATCACCATTAAAACCAATCAGAGGACCTGATGAAATATATTGCAAAAATCGATTTGGTTTTATTGCTCCCCACGAGAATAAGAAACTTAAAGAATGGTGAGATCCCGGGATTTTTTGGTTTCAACTCAAATTTGCTAAAAATGTCACGACAATCACTTCAGCAAGTCTGTCTTTGCACACGAAACGAGAAACAATAGAAAGGGTTCCTCATCACGTTTGTCACATCAAGTAGTTACGATGCCGGACAGTTATATCCTAATCGTAATTTACGCCAATGTCCCCTACTCTCTTGAGAATTAAAGACGCGTATGTTGACTGGATTCATCTTGTTAGTCAGTTTAATGTGATACCTCTGAAACATCCTTTTCTATCATTTGTGTAGGTACAGTATTCAGTGACTGTAAAGGTCACTCACACCTACCATTCGTAAATAAAAAGACAAGTATTAGATGTATATTTAGGTACGGATCTCGTCACAGAACGAACATATCGTTTTCATCTGTTAACGTTTATAAACTTAACATGAATCCCTGAAACTATTTATGTAATGACCTTGCCATAGCAAAAAATCAGGTTGTTCTTTTACATCAGCTTAACTAACTACGTTATCAATCCTGTGTCCAATGTACGTACGGCCTCCTCGAAGCATTTTGATACATGGAGAGTTGTCTAGACCTCACTACTTACCAGGTTTTTCTTCTGTTACTTCGGGTCAACACGGCACTAACATAAGCTAGCTGATTGGTTGCATCAACGCCAGTTTAATTACGTGTACAGAATGGGGTAATGAAAGTATGAAAGCTGCGCCTCACTGACGCTGCCACAAAAACATATTGCATTCTAAATCATCTCGTTCGATCTGCTATCGCCGTGGCTGTGAATGTATACGACGGGACCTTAATTGAATCCTGTTCCAGTAACGTGTAAAACATTCCAGGAAAGATCAGGTATTGGTACATAAATTGTACGTAGTAAATACGTGTGACATCTGAATAAAGTACCAGCTACAAATTCTTTGTTAAAATTCTTCGCTGCGCGCGCACAAATATGTCATTATAAAAATAATAGTGTATAAAACCACAATTATTCTAATAATGCGTTCTCAGTTACCAGTGGTAAGACCCATGGGTGTAGTGTTGAGGCCATGGGGTGTAGTGGTAAGACTCTCGGGGTGTAGTTTTGAGGCCCTGGGGTGTAGTGGTAAGACTCATGGGGTGTAGTGTTGAGGCCCTGGGGTGTAGTGTTGAGGCCCTGGGGTGTAGTGTTGAGGTCTCTGTATATAGCGTTGAGGTCCCTGTGTATAGTGTTGAAGTCCCTGTGTATGGGGTGTAGTGGTAAGCCCTATGGGGTGTAGTTTTGATGCCCTGGAGTGTAGTGTTGAGGCCATGGGGTGTATTAGTAAGACTCTCGGGGTGTCGTTTTGAGGCCCTGGGGGGTAGTGGTAAGACACGTGGGTTGTAGTGTTGAGGTCTCTGTATATAGCGTTGAGGTCCCTGTGTATAGTGTTGAAGTCCCTGTGTATGGGGTGTAGTGGTAAGCCCCATGGGGTTTAGTTTTGAGGGCATGGGGTGTAGTAGTAATGAGGCCCTGGGCTTTAGTGTTGAGGCCCTGGGGTTTAGTGTTGAGGCCCTGGGGTTTAGTGTTGAGGCCCTGGGGGGTAGGGGTTGGACGCATGGGGTGTAGTGGGGAGGCCCTGGGGTGTAGTGTAGTGTTGAGGCCATGGGGTGTACTGGTAAGACCCATGGGGGGTTTAGTGGTAAGACCCATGGGCTGTAGTGTTGAGGCCCTGAGGTGTAGTGTTGAGGCCCTGAGGTGTAGTGTTGAGGCCATGGGGTTTAGTGGTAAGACCCATGGGGGGTAGTGTTGAGACCCTGGGGTGTAGTGGTAAGACCCATGGGGTGTAGTTTTGAGGCCATGGGGTGTAGTAGTAAGACTCTCGGGGTGTAGTTTTGAGGCCCTGGGGTGTAGTGGTAAGACCCATGGGGTGTAGTGTTGAGACCCTGGGGTGTAGTTGTAAGACCCGTGGGGTGTAGTTTTGAGGCCCTGGGGTGTAATGGTAAGACCCATGGGATGTAGTGTTGAGGCCCTAAGGTGTAGTGGTTAGGCCCTGGGTGTAGTGGTAAGACCCATGGGGTGTAGTGTTGAGGCCCTGGGGTGTAGTGGTAAGACCCTCGGGGTGTAGGTTTGAGGCCCTGGGGTGTAGTGGTAAGACCCATGGGGTGTAGTTTTGAGGCCCTGGCTGTAGTGGTAAGTCCCATGGGGTTTAGTTTTGAGGCCCTGGGGTGTAGTGGTAAGACCCTCGGGGTGTAGTGTTGAGGCCCTGGGGTGTAGTGGTAAGACCCTCGGGGTGTAGGTTTGAGGCCCTGGGGTGTAGTGGTAAGACCCATGGGCTGTAGTGTTGAGGCCCTGGGGTGTAGTGGTAAAACCCTCTGGGTGTAGTTTTGAGGCCCTGGGGTGTAGTGGTAAGACCCATGGGGTGTAGTTTTGAGGCCCTGGGGTGTAGTTGTAAGACCCTCTGGGTGTAGTTTTGAGGCCCTGGGGGGGAGTGGTAAGACCCATGGGGGGTAGTGTTGAGGCCCTGGGATGTAGTTTTGAGGCCCTGGGTGTAGTGGTAAGACCCATGGGGTTTAGTGTTGAGGCCCTGGGGTGTAGTGTTTAGGCCCTGGGGTGTAGTGTTGAGGCCCTGGGGTGTAGTGGTAAGACCCGTGGCGTGTAGTTTTGAGGCCCTGGGTGCAGTGGTAAGACCCATGGGGAGTAGTGTTGAGGTGTAGTGTTGAGGCCCTAGGGGGTAGTGTTTAGGCCTTGGGGGTAGTGGTAAGACCCTCGGGTGAGGCCCTGGGGTGTAGTGTTAAGGCCCTGGGGTGTAGTGGTAAGACCCTCGGGGTGTAGTTTTGAGGCTCTGGGGTGTAGTGGTAAGACCCATGGGGTGTAGTGTTGAGAACATGGGGTGTAGTGGTAAGACCCGTGGGGTGTAGTTTTGAGGCCCTGGGGTGTAGTGGTAAGACCCATTGGGTGTAGTGTTGAGGCCCTGGGGTGTAGTGTTGAGGCCCTTGGGTGTAGTGGTAAGACCCACGGGGTGTAGTGTTGAGGCCATGGGGTGTAGTGGTAAGACCCTCGGGGTGTAGTTTTGAGGCCCTGGGGTGTAGTGGTAAGACCCGTGGGGTGGAGTTTTGAGGCCCTGGGGTGTAGTGTTGAGTCCCTGGGGTGTAGTGTTGAGGCCCTGGGATGTAGGTTTGAGGCCCTGGGTGTAGTGGTAAGTCCCATGGGGTTTAGTTTTGAGGCCCTGGGTTGTAGTGGTAAGACCCTCGGGGTGTAGTTTTGAGGCTCTGGGGTGTGGTGGTAAGACCCATGGGGTGTAGTGCTGAGGCCCTGGGGTGTAGTGTTGAGGCCCTGGGGTGTAGTGGTAAGACACGTGGGTTGTAGTGTTGAGGTCTCTGGGGTGTAGTGGTAAGACCCATGGGGTGTAGTTTTGAGGCCCTGGGGTGTAGTGGTAAGACCCATGGGGTGTAATTTTGAGGCCCTGGGGTGTAGTGGTAAGACCCATGGGGTTTAGTTTTGAGGCCCTGGGGTGTAGTGGTAAGACCCTCGGGGTGTAGTTTTGAGGCTCTGGGGTGTAGTGGTAAGACCCATGGGGTGTAGTGTTGAGGCC